CGAGATGGCGGAGGACACGCGGAACACCACACGGCCGCCTCAGCGAGATGGCGGAGGGCACGCGGAACACCACACGGCCGCCTCAGCGAGATGGCCCTGGACGACGGGCCGTGCTCACCCTCCCCGGGGCAGAGGGGCTCAGTCCAGTCGTAGCCACTGTGCGTCAGCGTCACGGTGACTTTGTACAAGTGGCAGAAGCCGGTCTTGCACTCGTTGGCGCGGATGAAGCAGAACTCCTCCTCTCCTGAGGACTGGGGGAAGGGGTAGAAGATGTCGTGAACCTGTCCCAAGCGAAGAGAGAAGGCAGGTCAGGAAATGCGAGTCGGGCCGAGGCAGAGGCCCAACCCAGCCCCTGGGGACCCTCTCCCTCCTCCACCTAGGGTCCCGCTCAGCCTTGTCGCCATCGCTGGCACTCTGACGTGACCCCAGGGGCCCTGGCCTGGCGCAGACCCTCACCCCCGCCCTTACATTGATCCACACGTCGGTGACCTCCTCATACACCACGTACGGCTGGGCGTGCTGGGGGACGGCCCTGGCGAACGCCACCCGCTGCTCCTCGCTCTCCGTGGCCGGGATGAACAGGGCTGGGGGCAGGAGGACGAGCTGGAGCCGCTGCTGGGGCCGGTCCAGGAACATGGCCCAGGCACTAGGGGGAGTCAGAGGGAAGCGGAGGCCTCAGTGGCCATGGGGAAGCGGGGGCAGCATCCTTTCCTGACTCCTGTAGTTGGGTTCTGTTGAGTGGATTCTGACTCACAGTGACCCTATGTGACAGAGCAGAACTGCCCTGTAGGGTTTTCTAGGCTATACTCTTTATGGGAGCAGATTGCCAGGGCTTTTCCCCTGTGGAGCTGCTGGTGGGTTTGAACCACCAATCTTTTGGTTAGCAGCCGAGTGCTTAATCATTGTGCCACCAGGGCTCCTTGACTCTGCCCACACCTGATACCCTGTACGGTGGAGGTTCCCTCACTGGTGTTCACCCTGACAGAATGGCTGGCATAACTCTACAATCCGAGCGTTCTGAAAACAACATCACACGCTACGAAGTCTCAGAGCAGTGTTGCGCAAACTTCACGATTTCTGCCAAATCCTCAGCCTGCTGACACTATCATTGATTTCCTGTTTTGCTATAAACGGGGGAGTCCCTGAGTGGTACAAGCGCTTACTACACTTGGCTGCTAACCAAAAAGTTAGGAAGACCGAAGAAGGATCACCTGAGGTTTTAAACTTAGGTTTACTTTATGTTTCAAATAAACTTTAAAATAAATTTAGAGTTATTTTAAAGGAAGACGTTATCACTTCTACAAACGGAAGACCAGCATCTCAACGTAAAGATGGACCAACCAAAATCAAATAAAATAGTGACACAACGCGGTTGCTGTCGAGTCGATTCCGACTCGTGGCGACCCCGTGTGCGCCGAGTAGAGCTGCTCCACAAGGTTTTCATGGAAGCAGATCGCCAGGCCTTTCTTCCGAGGTGCCTCTGGGGGGTTTCAAACTGCCAACATCTTGGTTAGGAGCCCAGCACTGAACCATCTGCCCCGCCCAGGGACTCCAGCAGCATAGCAGGGAGATGAAATTCTAACGAGAGCCTGCTTCATGCCAAAGCACTGGGCCTGAAACCCGCCTCTGTCAGACAGCAAGCGTTTGAGCAGGGATCAGCACTTTCCCTGTAAAGGGCCAGCCAGTACGGATTTTTGGCCATTGTAGTGTGAAAGCTGCCACAGATAAGACATAACGAACGGGTGGGGCTCTGGGCCAGTAAAACTCTGTTTACGGACACTGACAGGTGAATTTCATCTAATTTTCACATGTGACGAAATATTATTCTTCATTTGCTTCCCTCCATCGTTTAAAAATGTAAAAATCATTCTTCGTTCGTAAGCCATACAACACCAGGCAGCGGGACAGATTTGGCCCCCAGGTTGTAGTCTGAGCCCCCGGCATGAAAGAGATTTTCCTCCTCGACAGAAACAGAAGGGGTGGAAAGCGACGGAAAAGGGAGCACAGCTTTATGTTTTTAATTTTTTATGTCCCAGTGGGTTTAAATGATGAAAGCACATTTCTCATTTGAGTTACATGATCACTGCAGGCCAGCCCGGAGCTCTGCTCCACAGTGCTGACTCAGTGACTTGGAGAGCAGGGGGGATGGGAAAATCTGCACCAATTCTTAAATTCCAGGTGGAACTGACACAGATCCCTTCCACTGACATGTCATTTGCCACAATATGTCACGCGGCCAGGCCTGCCTTGAAAAGGCTGGCGACACCTAACCCTACCGTGCGCCTGGAACGAATGGAGAGAATCAGAAATACATCTGCGCTCGAAGTTACAGCTACCCCAGACGGTAGCCAGTTTCAGGGTGAAAGACTTGGAACACCTTCACATTGCGAGTAGGTGTTTCTGGGTGCCGGGCTTGCACCCCCACTTTGGGAAACATGGTCAACACGTCCCAGTGGCACCGCAACCAGGATGTGGAAACCCAGTGTGTTGTCTCCTGACTGGCTGAGGCTTAGTAGGTTCTGGAAGCAAGGGCAGGCAGAGGACGGACCAGCGGAAGCCCCGAGCGTGAGCCAGCAGACACTCACTACTTGCCGTCCCGGGTCCAGCCGGCCCTGGCGATGTACTCCACCTTCGGGAAGAGTGAGCTGAAGGGCTGCACCAGCTCCTTCTCTTGGGTCGAGACGATCTAGAGGGAAAGCAGACTCGGGTCATGGCCGGCTGCCCACGCGCTGCCCGCCCACATGCTGACCGGGGGGAAAGGCACCCAGCTGGAGGCAGGCCAGCTGATCACGGTACCCAACTGGGAGACAGGAAACCCAGGGGACATGGGGATAGTGACATGAGCACCATGAGACCTTGGGCAGAACACGGCCTCTGGCCTGGGTGGCTTCCTGGGGCCTAAACGGGGGGGATGGTACAACACAGCATCTACTCTGGAGGAAGGAGGACAGCGAGGGAGAGGGGAGGGAGGGAGGGAAAAAGGAAGGAAGGAAAGAAAGGGAGAAATGAGAGAGGGAAGGGAGGGAGGGAGGGAGGATGGAACGATAGAAGGAAGAAGGAAGGAAAGGCCTGGCCGAGGCTAACACGCGACCATGTCACCATCCCCATGAGCTCCACGGGCATAACCCACACCCACGTCAGGGTCCTGCCCGTCTGCCGGGCTAAGGAACCATTAGAAACAGCACAGGGGGTGGTTCTTTGTGGCACTCAGCCAAGTGCTGTCACTACCCGGAGGATCCGGCAGCCACGCTCCATCCCAGCGGGCACTGAAGTGGGCAAGGCCAACACGCAGGATCTGTGTACAACCCACCAGGCCAGGGGGTTTGGTTAGAGTCTGATCTTGCAGAAAACAAAAACGAACAAACAAAACCCCCGCCTCCAGTTATGAGAGCAAGTATGTTCTGTTGCTGTCAGCTGCCACCGAGGCGGCCCTGACTCACGGCGACCTCATGCACAACGGAACGGAAGGCTGCCTGGGCCGGCGCCATCCCCGCGGTCGGCTGTGGACCAAACCGCTGTGATGCACAAGGTTTTCACTGGCTGGTTTTTGGGAGATAGCCAGGCCTTTCTTCTTAGTCCCTCTCAGTCTGGAAGCTCCACTGAAACCTGTTCAGCAGCCTAGGAACACGCCAGCCTCCACGGACAGACGGGTGGTGGCTGTGCACGAGGTGCAGTGGCCGGGAATTGAACCCGGGTCTCCCGCGTGGGAGATGAAAATTCTACCTCTGAACCTCCACTGCCCCTAGAAGTGCATTCAGTCTCGTAATATTTTCTGAAACATTTTACAAGAATTTGTTTTTACAAAAATGCACACAGGCTCCGTCGGTTTGCCAGGGCCTCTCCGGCCTCTGACGGATGTGTGGGGTGTTTTTGGTGCTGCAGCCACGCCTGTCCAGGGCTCTGCGCGGGACTCAGGTGGTCCCCCAACATGACTCTTCTTAACTTAATGAATCATCCATATGTGGTGAGATTTGCAGTCTGCTGAGAAAGTGGCCCTGGGAGAGAGCGAGCCCCATGCAGCTGCTGCTGCTCCGTGACTGATGGGTGTGCTGGGCTGGCAGCTGGAGGCTGGGGGCCTAAGCAGGCTCGCCACTCCTGGGTTCTGATGCCTTTTGGTGCCGACACCTCCTCGGGGCTGCAAGGTCTTGAGCAGCGGCTCCTGGGGTGATGAGGACCCTGTGTCTGATGCTGACTGGGGAGTGGGGAAAAGGATCCCACGACAGCGGAGGGGACCAGGAAAGGGGTCTGTAAGGATCTGCCCCAAATGCTGGGGTGTTTCCCTGCCTGAAGTCTGGTCACCCGGACATCTGTCTGTGGAGGTCCCAGTTCCAGAAGCTCGGAAAGAAGAGAAGTAAGCCGCCTACTGAGGAAGCCTGAGGACGTCCCACCCTGTGGGGGCTGTAGCTCAAAGCACATGTTCATCGGCCTCACTGCCTCACACCTCCCAACCATCCGAGGAAGAAAAGACTGAGCTCACCACTCCTGGTTTCCCAGATGAGGAAGAAACCGAGGTTCAGAGTGACAACCCAGAAGAGGGTCTCTGAGAACATGCTTTCACACCAAGTGCACTGGGCTGCAGCCATGAGGGTGTGGGGGGCACTGGCCCCAGGAAGGACACACGCTTGACTGTCCACCCATCTCCTAGCATGTCCCCCAGCCCCTCCTCCCTCAACAGGAAGCTTCCCCAGGATGTCCTGGGCCCACTTACCTTGCCCTGACTGTCTGTCTGAAATTCTGCTAGCTTCAAGGCGATCTTGGGATTCTTGCTGCCTACAAAGAATGAAAGCAAGGGGAGAGTGTGTGGGTGCCGCCTGCACGTGCCAACGCCGTGGTCTGTCCACAAGGTGCCACCCTCAAGTCCTGCCTTTTTTCCTGGCCCCGCCTGCTTCTCTCAGTGGCATTCCTGCCTGGCTCCGGCGGGCACATCCTGGGTGAAGCATGGCCTTGCTCTATGGAGGATATGAGTTGGCTCAAAAAAACGTGCAATGCAGAGGTGCCAAGAAGTAACCGAGGAGGTCCGGGCAACAGGAGGAGAAAGCTGGAGGAGGAGGCAGGCACATCTAGAAGGCAGCGCCCTGTGGTCCTGCTCTGCTGTGTCTGCAAACCGCGGGGGTCTGCAGACTGTGGCCCAAGCACCAAATAAGGCCTGCTGCCTGTTTTTGTATGGCCCACGTGTGAATAATGGTCTTACGTTTTTGTTCTTGAACGGTTCAAAGAAAAAACAAAAGAAGCCAATTCCGTCACATGTGAAAACGATACACAGTTCAAATTTCGATGTCCGTCGATAAAGTTTTATCGGCACACAGCCAAGCCTGTTCGTTTACATATCGTCATCCATGGTTTCTTTCGGGCTACAGTGGCAGGGCTGAGTTGCTGGAACAGAGACTGTCTTGGCCCGCAAGGCTGAAAATACTTCCTCTCTGGCCTTTTCCCCAGAAACAGCTGGCCCACCTCTCAGCTACACGACGAGGCCTAGGTGAGCCAGGAGAGGGAGGGTCTCCCGGGCAGGCTTTAGCTTCCAAAGGGCAGAAGCTTCTCTGCTTCCCTGCTGGTGCCCAATGCCAGAGGCCTGGGGGTAGTGCATTTCACCACCCAGGACTCAAAGGCCCCAGGCCACTGGCCTGGCCACACTCACCTGTCCTGGGGTATCGGTAGGAATCCGTCTTCCTTTCTTCTAGGGCAGGTGAAGGAACATGAATGATCTCCACCTCGGACTCATCGACTTCCTCGTATAAGATGCGAAGCGTCTTGAGATCTTCTGAACCTTGAAGGGGAGCAAGGAAGCCGCTGAACCCCCCGTGGGGGCTGTTGGGGGAGGCCAGGACACGGTCAGGAGTCCCCGCTCCCAGACCACTCCCCTGACGCATATACGAGGGTGCAGACACACAGGCAGCATCCAGGGCGAACGCCCCAGAGCTGCTGGACCCCCAGTCCTTCCAAGTACTAGACCTTAATCCAGTCATGTCTCCGCTCAGACCTCAGTTTCCTTATCTATACAATGGGAACACAGAGATTCCCAGAACAAAAAGGCCCGGGAGGCGGCCACACGGGACATGGGCCACGATGGAGGATCACAGTAAAAATCTTTACAAGAGGTAAGTGAACCCTGGCACGGCAACAGCGTAAAAGGAGGCAGGCAGGGGCAGGAGTTCATGTTCATGGGGAAGAGAAAATTTGGAAAAGGAGGGTGAGAATGGCTGCACAACTTGAAGAACGTAATCAACGTCACCAAATTCTACATGGAAAAGTGGCTGAACTGGTCTATGTTCTGCTCTGTGTATTTCTCCGACAACAACAAATAAAAATAATTTAAAAAAAAAAGGAGGCAGGCCGACTGTTGGTGCTGACATCCAGGGATGAAACCCACCGCTGCTCCTTCCTCAACATGCCCTCTCCCTCCTCAACCGCTGAGAGGACCTTCCTCCACAGACTGAAGATGGAACTTCTCGAAGGAGCTCGACCACATGGTGCTGAGGGAGGTGACGCCTCACTGCACCTGGAGGCAAGGTCTTCTCCAGGCCTGCTCTACAGACAGAGCGCCTGAGGCTCGTAGAGGTGATGGGGCCAGCCCGAGGTCACGCAGTTTGGAAACAGCATGCTGGGGTTCAGGCTCAGCCCTCGTGATGTCGCCTCTGCTGTGTGTAAAGGTCCTGTGGCTCTCAGCATTTGTCAGCTGGGAAGGCCCGGCTGGGGTTGCCACAGCTAAGAAAAAGAGCTGTGTCCCCATCATAGCACCAGAAGTGGCCCAGCTATCACTACTGAACGTTCTGATCAGGGACACAACAGATGGGTCCTGATAGAAAGGGAGAAAAACGGGAACAGAACCTAAAATTCTTAAAGAACCTAGACTTACTGGACCCACTGAAGCTGGAAGAGACCCCAAGGCCACTGGCTGAGTCAGTCTTCAAATCCTGAATCAAACTGTCCCCTGAAGTCATTTTAAACTAAGTAACAGTTAGCCCAAAGACTAAGGATTGTCACCCTGGATTACTGTGCTCTTATAAAGAATCATCTGTGTAAGACCTAATGGACAACAGCCATTCTTTTTTATTGTTCCTGAAGTGAAAGTTTACAGTTCAAGTCAGTTTTTCATACCAAAATTCATACACACATTGTTATGTGACCCTAATTGCTCTTCCTATACTGTGACAGCCCACACCTCCTTTCTACCTGATTTCCTGTGTCCGTTCAACCAGCTCCTGACCCTCTCTGCCTTCCCATCTCACCTCCAGACAGAAGCTGCCCATTTAGTCTCTTGTATCTACTTGAGCTAAGAGGCACACTCCTCACGAGTATCATTTTATGCCCCATAGTCCAGTCTAATCTTTGTCTGAAGAGTTGGCTTCGGGAATGATTTAAGTTTTGGGCTAATGGAGAGTCTGGGGGCGATGTCTTCTGGGGTCCCTCCAGTCTCAGTCAAACCATTAAGTCTGGTCTTTTCACTAGAATTTGAGTTCTGCACCCTACTTCTCTCCTGCTCCGTCAGGGACTCTCTGTTGTGTTCCCCGTCAGGGCGGGCATGGGTGGTAGCCGGGCACCATCTAGTTCTTCTGGTCTCAGGATGGACAACAGCTATTCTAAAGCACAGACGAGAAGGTGGACGGCAGGGAGTCTAAGTCAATGGGAGTGAAACAACCACAACAGAAATAGCGAGAATGTTGACACAATGGGAAGAATGTAACCAATGTCACTGATGAATATGTCTAGAAACTGTGGCATGAGAGCGGGTTTTGCTGTGTATACTTTCACCCAAAATTAAATAATAATAAAAAATAGCACCAGAGGCATCCCTGTAGCACATGGTGTGAGAAAAGGGATTATAACAAAAGGGACAGGCGTCTCTGGCCACAGCATCCAGGGGACTTCATCAAAGGGGTCTCTGAGCTGCTGTAGTATAGAACAGAGTCCCTGGGTGGCACAAACGGTGTACGTGCTCAGCCAGTAACTGAAAGATCGGAGGTTCGAGTCCACCCAGAGGCACCTCGGAAGAAAGGCCTGGTGATCTGCTTCCAAAAAGTAAGCCACTGATAACCCCATGGAGTCCAGTTCTACTCTGACGCACACCGGGCTGCCAGGTGTCAGGGTCAACTTGACAGTCACTGGTTTTAAAAAACATATATAACAAAGAGCGTGCCATTTCAAGTGTACAATTCAGCGAACTAACTACACTCACCACATTGTGCAACCATCACCACGCTGTTCCCAAACGTTCTTCCTCACCCCAAACAGAATCTCAGCACCTTTAAACGACTCCCCCCACGCCCCATCTCCACAGCCCCTGGTGATCCCTAACACACCTTGGTCTCTGTGCATCTGCCCATCCTAGGCATTTCGCACAAGTAGGAGCGTGCAATATGTGTCCTTTCGTGTCTGACTGATTTCACTTGAACCCCAGTGGTACCGTGATTGAGTGCTCGGCTGTTAACCAAAAGGTTGGCAGTTTGAACTCACCAGCCGCTCCATGGAAGAAAGATGTGGCAGCCTGCTTCCATAAAGATTACGGCCTTGGAAACCCTGTGGGGCAGTCCTACTCCGTCCTATAGGTCGCTATGAGTCAGAATCGACTGGATGGCAACAGGTTTGATTTCCCTCAGCCTCATGCTTTCAGGTTCGCCTGTGTGAGTCTGTATCAGGACTTCACTTCTCTCTACGGCGAGAAACATTCCCTCGGATGGATGGACCACGTTGTGTTTATCTGTTCGTCTGCTGATGGGCACTTGGGTTGTTTCCACCTTTGGTCTATCGTGAACAGTGCTGCAATGAACATTGGTGGCTTGCTGCTGTTAGGTGTCGTCAAGCTGATTCCAACTCACGGTGACCCTATATGACAGAGGAGAACTGCCTCATAGGGTTTCCTATGCTGTAATCTTTTCTCCTGTGGAGCTGCTGGGTGGGTTCAAACTGCTGACCTTTTGGTTAGTGGCTGAGTGCTTGACCACTGTGCCACCAAGACTCCTTGAACACTGGTGTCCACGACATCGTGTTATATTTTAGCATCTCACCTCTATCTATGCAAGTGGTTCTGGTTTTCCATTTATGGTAGGACTATAAAGCTTTCTTTTTATTGTGCTGTGTTAAGTGAAAATTCACAGCTCAAGTTAGTCTCTCATACAAAAATTTATACACACATTGTTATGTGACCCTAGTTGCTCTCCCTATAATGTGAAAGCACACTCCTCCTTTCCACCTTGGATTTCCTGTGTCCATTCAACCAGCTCCTGTCCCTTTCTGCTTTCTCATCTCACCTCCGGACAGGAGCTGCCCATGTGATCTCGTCTATCTACTTGAGCTAAGAAGCACACTCTTCACGAGTATCATTTTATGTCCCATAGTCCAGTCTAATCTTTGTCTGAAGAGTTGGCCTCGGGAATGGTTTTAGTTTTGGGTTAACAGAGAGTCTGGGGGTCATGTCTTCTGGGGTTCCCCAGCCTCAGTCAGACCACTTAGTCTGGTCTTTTTACTAGAATTTGAGTTCTGCATTCCACCTTTCTGCTGCTCCTTCAGGGAGTCTCTGTTGGGTTCCCTGTCAGGGCGGTCAGTGGTGGTAGCCAGGCCCCATCTAGTTATTCTGGTCTCAGGCTGATGGAGTCTCTGGTTTATATGGCCCTTTTTGTCTCTTAGATTAATATTTTCCTTGTGTCTTTGGTGTTCTTCATTCTCCTTTGCTCTAGGTGGGTTGGGACTAATTGATGCATCTTGGGTGGCCGCTCGCTAGCTTTTAAGACCCCAGACCCACTCACCAAAGTAGGATGCAGAACATTTTCTTAATACTCTGTTATGCCAGCTGACCTAGATGTCACCTGCAACCATGGTCCCCAGACCCCCATCCCTGCTACTCTGTCCCTCAAAGTGTTTGGCTGTGTTCGTGAACTTCTTAGCTTTTGGTTTAGTCCAGTTGTGCTGACTTCCCCTGTAGTGTGTGTTGTCCTTCCCTTCACCTAACGTAATTCTTGTCTACTATCTAGTTAGTGAATACCCCTCCCCCTCCTCCCCACCCTCGTAACCATCAAAGAATGTTTTCTTCTGTGTTTAACCTTTTCTTGAGTTCTTATAATAGTGGTCTCATACGGTATTTGTCCTTTTGCGACTGACTAATTTCACTCAGCATAATGCCTTCCAGATTCATCCATGTTATGAGATGTTTCACGGATTCACTGTTGTTCTTTATCACTGCGTAGTATTCCATTGTGTGAATTTACCATAATTTGTTAATCCATTCGTCCGCTGACGGGCACCTAGGCTGTTTCCATTTTTTTGCTATCGTGAACAGTGCTGCAATGAACATGGGTGTGCATACATCTATTTGTGTGATGGCTCTTATTTCTTTGTGATATATTCCAAGGAGTGGGATTATTGGATCGTATGGTACTTTCATTTCTAGCTTTTTAAGGAAGCGCCAAATTGATTTTCAAAGTGGTTGTACCATTTTACCTTCCCACCAACAGTGTACAGGTGTTCCAGTCTCTTCACAACCTCTCCAACATTTTGTGTTTTTTGGATTAATGCTGGCCTTGTTGGGGTGAGATGGTATCTCACTGTAGTTTTGACTTACATTTCTCTAATGGCTAATGATCGTGAGCATTTCCTCATGTGTCTGTTAGCCACCTGAATGTCTTCTTTGGTGAAGGGTCTGTTCATCTCCTTTGTCATTTTTTAATTGGGTTATTTATCTTTTGATTGTTGAGGTTTTGCAGTATCTTATAGATTTCAGAGATTAGACCCTGATCAGGTATGTCTTAGCCAAAAATTTTTTCCCAGTCTGTAGGCTGTCTTTCTACTCTTTTGGTGAAGTCTTTTGATCAGCGTAGTGTTTGATTTTTAGGAGCTCCCAGTTATCTAGTTTTTCTTCTGGTGTTTGTGCATTGTGACTTATGGTTCATATTCTGTTTATGCCATGTGTTAGGGCTCCTAGTGTTCCCTGGAAACCCTGGTGGCATAGTGGTTAAGAGCTACAGCTGCTAACCAAAAGGTCGGCAGTTTGAATCCACCAGGCACTCCTTGGAAACTCTATAGCGCAGTTCTACTCTGTCCTATAGGGTCGCTATGAGTTGGAACTAACTCAACAGCAATGGGTTTTCTGTTGTTTTTTTTTTTAGCATTGTCCTTATTTTCTCTTTCATGATCTTTATCATTTTAGATTTTATATTTAGGTCTTTGATCCATTTTGAGTTAGTTTTTGTGCATGGTGTGAGGTATGGGTCTTGTTTCAGTTTTTTGCAGACAGGCATCCAGTTATGCCAGCACCATTGGTTAAAGAGACTGTCTTTTCCCCATTTAACAGACTTTGGGCCTTTGTCAAATATCAGTTGCTCATAGGTGGATGGATTTACATCTGAATTCTCCATTCTGTTCCACTGGTCTCTGTATCCGTTGTTGTACCAGTACCAGGCTGTTTGGACCACCATGGCGGTGTAATAGGTTAAAGCTTTCCTTCTGAACCGATTTAGGTAAAGGAAGTGGGTTTGAAGGCCAAGCGAACAAGCAACAAGGTGGCACACAGGTGCTGCGGAGCCTGCGGCAGTGAACGGCGAGTGACTGAGACCTGGAAGCTCAGCATCGGTCGCGTCGTCCTCCGCTGACAAACACAGATGCGCTAAGGCCACAGAGGCATCAATTAGCAGCAGAGACTTGGCCCAGGCCCGATCCCAGAGCAGGCAAGTCTTGGCTGGGGCGCATGTGAACAAGGCGACCTCAATTCCACTGCTGTTCGCCGCGGCCGAGGAGCTGAGGCTGCTGACACGTCCCAGGAAGCAACGTCCCCAGGCTTAAAGGACGGACTTTGGTTGACTGAATGAGGGAGGAAATTAGATGCCCCTGTTTGCTGGGGGCAGAAACTCAGAGACACAAAAGGACCCACTGAGCTGGCTTCTTTCAGAAACTGTTGGCAATATCCACTGAGCTTTGAAATGAGTGTATCTTCAACTCAGCTTTCTTACAGCTACGAATTTTCTCTCCAGCTGGGCTTGTCCACTACAGCATTGCGGACACGGGCGCCAGATCGTTCCCCGGGGTGGGGGCTATCCTGTGCACCGCGCGGAGTTGAGCAGTACCCCTGGTCTCCACCCGCTCAATGCCAATAGCACCCCTACCGCCTCCTCAGTTGTGACAACCCATATTTTAGGGCTCCTAATATACTGGCGAATGTCACCGGGGCGAGGGGGGCAGAATCACCCCCTAGTTGAGAACGACTGATGTACTCTGTACTCGCAGAGTATCCCCAGGACATACGTACAAAGCTGTTCACCGGAGTACTGTTTGTAACACCCACAGCGAAACTCAAATCCCAAACTGCCAACAACCAAAGTGTCCATCCACGTAGAAGCTGTTAAATGAACCCCGGTGGTGTTGCAGGTGCCGTCAAGTTGATCTTCAACTCGTTTCTTGGCTGTAATCCTTACAGAAGTAGATCACCGGGTCCTTCTCTCGCAGAGCTGCTGGGTGGGTTCGAACGGCCAGCCTTTTGGTGAGCAGCCAGGTGCTTAACTGTTCCACCACCAGGGCTCCTATAAACCTCGTAGATCTGGGCAAATGGGGCGCCTGGGGTCATTGGTGAGTTTTCCCGGTGCTGACACGGAAAGACTGGTGAGGTCTGTTATCGGTGCAAGGGGCGAGCAAGTACTCAGTGCGACTCCATCGAAAGAGAGACGTGTGCACAGAAACACCGTTTTTTTCATGAGAAAGGAAACGTACAGAACACAGGGTTCTTAGGGTAGTGAAACTATTCTGTATGACACTGTCACCACGGGCAGATGCCATTATACCTGTCAAAACTCACGGTGGTGGTGTGTGCCATGGAGTCGATGTTGACTCACAGTGACCCCATATGACAGAGTAGAACCGCCCTGTAGGGTTTTCTAGGCTGTCGTCTTTATGAAAGCAGACTGCCAGGTCTTTCCGCCATGGAGCTGCTGGGTGGGTTCAAATCGTCAACCTTCTGGTTGGCAGCTGAGCACTTCACCACTGCACCACCAGGACACCTTGTCGAAACCCACAGGACTGCACAAGCTAATGAGTGAACCCTCATGTAAACTATAAAAAACCCCAACCAGATGCCATCAAGTCAACTCCGACTCACGAGGACCCCACGTGTGTCAGAGCAGAACCATGCTCCACAGTGTTTTCAATGGCTGTGATCTTTCCAAAGCAGACTGCCAGGCTTTTCTTCTGAGACGCCTCTGGGTGGATTTAAACCTCCAACCTCTCAGTTAGCAGCTGAGCGTTTAACCGTTTGCACCACCCAACAAGGAACTCTGTCATGTAAACGACAGACTTTAGTTGATAAAAATGTATCAGAATTGGTGTATCAGTTATAACAAATGTATCACATGAATGACAGATGTGATACATTTGTTACAAGGGAGAAAGAGACAGAGTACGTGAAAACTCTGCTCAATTTTTCTGTGAACCTAAAACTGCCCGAAAAAATAAAGTTTATTGAAAAAAAAAAAAAAGGAAAGAAGAAAAAAACAAAGGTCCTACCTTCCCAGGAGGTGGTGGGACACCACCAGTACCCAGTGAACCGGTCAAATTCTTCCTGAATGACAAAGGTGGCTACCCCAGCAGACTTGGGGTCATCCAGGACATTGGACAAACCTGGAGGGAGAGAAAGAGAGCCAGATGGGAAATAAGCAGTATTCTAACAACTAGGCAGCCCTGGTGGCACGGTGGGTAAGTGCTTGGCTGCTACCGAAAGGCCAGCAGTTCAAACCCTCCCGGTGGCTCTGTGCGAGAAAGATCTGTCGATCTGCTTCTGTGAAGATTACAGCCTAGGGAACCCCATGGGGCAGTTCTGTTTTGTCACACGGGGTCACTGTGAGTCTGAATCGACTTGACGGCACCCAACAACAACAGCTAGGTACCAGCTGGCAACTCTACGGAAAAGCACAAAACAGACCACGGAACTCAGTCTAGTCTCCCAGCCTCAGCAGCGTGGGTGTCCGGAACCAGAACGTTCTCTGGGGTGGGGCTGTTCCGTGCACTGCAGCGTGCTGAGCAGCGTCCCTGGCCTCCACCCACCTGATGCAACCTCCCCGAGCTGTGACAACTGAAAGCGTCTCTGGGCGTTGCTGAGTGTCCCCTGCGCTGCCTGATGCAGAGAGGGGACCAGGCTTTGCGGGTGGGCGGAGAAGGGGGCAGTGCAGAGTACTGCAGACATCCGAGGGGGAGGAGGTTGCCTCGGCAAGTAAGGCATAAGGGGACATCCAGGGAGCAGGGATGGTTTGAGCTTGACCAGAAAGTGGTCCGACAGGCAGAGAGGAGGTGGGAAGGCAGTATGCACGGTGAGAGCCGAGTGCACAGAGGCGCAGAACGAGCACCTGGTGGAGGCAGCCGGACCCCGTGGCTGGGTGGATTCATGCAGAGAGCCCGGAGCCGGGCAGGGAAAGAGGCTGGGCTTCCTAGGAGCCCTGGGGTCACAGGGGGCCACTGCAGGGGGTGTGCAGTGGTGTGAGCCGGGGGCAGGCAGTGCCTGGAGGAGGGAGTGGGTCATAGGAGTAGGGCCTTCTAGAAGCTGGCCTGGGGCTCCAAGGGCTGTCCATAGGAAGTGCAGCCAGGCCAAACCAAGCACACCCCGAGGGCGGGCTGGGGGCGGTCACAGTCCAGCAGCCCAGAGCTCCCCGTGGGCCTATGCAGCAGGGGTGATCCCGCCCTCACCTCTGTGGCAGAAGGTCAGCCGCTTCTCCTCGCCCGTCTCCAGGTTGGCCACCCACAGGTCATTGTTGTTGATGAAGGAGAAGAAGGCCGGGTCGGCAGGGCAGATTTTGGGGTCCATCCGAGGCCCTGAACACTGAGTCTTGATTTCCAGAGGCTTCATGGGAGACACCTGAGAATACAGAGGCCCTGCTCAGGGGGTGGGACTCTGCCCACCCTGCGGCCGCTCCCCACCAGGAGGCCCAGGTGGTACCCGGGACTTGCCACGAAGCCATCCTCATCCTGTCCTGGCAGCGGCCAGGACTCCCCGTGAGCCTGTCCTTGCCCCCCCCCCCCAGTGACCAGGGCCCCCAGGCAGGCCCCCCGGCTCACCATGAAGCCGTCCTTGCCCCCGTCGCGGCAGTGGAAGAGGCTGCTGCTGGCCTGGAAGAGGAAGAGGCCGCTCTCGCTGTGGAAGTCATACGAGGTGATGCCAAAGACCCCCAGGCGCTTCCGCTCCCGCAGGAGCTCTTCCTCCCTCGAGTAGACACCGTGGTGAGGTGTGGCCTGGGGACACACGGGGGACACTCTGAGGATGCCGGGCTCCCCTCACCCCTCTGCCAGACATTCCCGGGGGACGTCTGACCGGCCCACACCTCAGGGAAGTTTCTGGCGAGCAGGGCTGTGCTGAGGGCTCTGGTAGTGTAACAGTTAAGCCCTTGGCTGCCAACCAAAAGGTTGGTGGTTTGAACCCACCCAGTAGCTCCGTGGAAGAAAAGACCTGGCAATCTGCTCCCATTAAGCTTACAGCCTAGGAAACCTTAGGAGGCAGTTCTACTCTGTCACATGGGGTCACTGTGAGTCAAAATCGACTCAACGGCACCCAGCAACAATGCGGCTAAACTGAACAGAACAGGGAGCTTGAATGCTGACCTGGAGGCGGTGAGGGTGCCAAGTGGGCTGTGGGGTCGTGATAACAGGACCCTGGGTGGTGGGCCCTACAGTCTCCAGGGCTCACCCTTCCTGAACCCCGCCCGAGTCTAAGTTAATAGGGTGAAACAATTGGTTGTTGAGTCCATTCCAACTCATAGCGCCCCCACGTGACGGAGTAGAACTGCCCCATATGGTTTTCCAGGCTGTAATCATTACAGAAACAGATCGCCAAGTCTTTCTCCCATGGAGCTGCTGGGTGGGTTCTAACTGCCGACTTTTCGGTTAGAGCCGGGTGCTTAACTGAGCAGGGAGCAAGTCGACCCGCCTCTCTCCATGGCCTTTCTCCAGGGCAGAAGTGGCTCCTGGGGCAGTGGTCCCTGCCCCTCAGAACCCAGTGACCCCCAGGGCCCGCCACCAATCCTCCACCACTGCCTAGCCTTTACAGCCCTTTCCCACCGCTGAGAGCATGCACTCTAAACCCAGACAGCAGGAGCCCACCTGTCACCAAACACACGTGATCTCTGTGGGGGGGCAATGCAAATGGAGAACAACCCGAGCCCCAACACCCTGCCCTAGGGGAGCAGATATGTACACTGCTGGGTGCACCACGTAGCGGCCCAGAGGAAGATTCTGGAAACGTGGAGGAGACTAAGGAGAAGGAAGACACTTTTAATAGCTGAACCCAAACCAAAGCCACAGCCACATGGTGGCAAAAGCGCCCCGAACACGAGCTCACCAACGGACCGGCAACACTGAGAGTGACCACGTGGGCGGGAGAGACTCGGAGTCAGGCCTCACCCCTGCCACATACTGTTAGGCCATTCTTACAATCGAAAACGAATGAAAATAAGCCAAGAGAACCCGATGGTGCCCGGCTACTAAGACCGAACATTTTGATGAGGGTCATGATAGACAGCTCCTGATCAAAACGGAGAAAAAATGTGGAAAAGAACTTCAAATTCCTACAGATTCCAGACTTACCAGACCCACTGAGATGGGAGAAACCCCGGAATCCACTGCTCTGAGAGGCTCTTTAAACCTTTAAGCCAAACTATCCCCCGAAGTCATCTTTAAGCAAGTTTAGCTCAATTAGTAAAGCACACATGCCTTCAGCGCTGAGCTCTTTTAAAAGATTATATACTGCCATCGTGTGCCAGAGTCGATTCTGACTCATAACCACCCCATGAAACAGAGCAGAACTGCCCCCATGGGGTTTCCAAGGCTGTCATCTTTACAGGAGCAGATCGCCAGGTCTTCCCTCCTGCAGAGCCAGTGGGAGGGTTCGAACCGCCCACCTTTCGGTTAGCAGCCGAGTGCTTAACCATTCATCAGCAGGGCTCCTTTAAAGGATTATTTATATAAGACCAAACTGACAACAGTAACTCGAAAGCACAGATGAGACGTTCCGGGTGGACAGCAAGTCTAAGTTAATGGAGGTGAGGCCAGTGGAGTAGACACAGCGAGACTGTTGCCACCAAGTGGAGAACAAAACCAACGGCCCTGAACTGCGTGTGCAGACACTGCTGAACGGGTGTGTGTTCTGCTCTGTGTATTTTCACCAAAAATAAGCATTTGAAACATAATAATATGCCAAGAGAAAATGCTCTTACTTTCCCACCTACAATCTTCTCCCAAGGAGCCCTCGTGGTGCAATGGTTAAGCACTCAGCCGCTAACCAAAAGGTCGGTGGTTCAAACCCACCAGTGGCTTCACGGGAGAAAGCCCTGGCTATCTGCTCCTGTAAAGCCGACAGCCTAGGCAACCACGTAGGGCTGTTCTACTCTGTCACACGGGGGCGCGGTGAGTCGGAATCCACTCAACGGCCCCTAAGGACAACAACCACCTCTTCTCCCCAGAAGGACACCAGTCATCAGCCAGTCTCCATAAAGGGCCTCGGCTCAAGGAATCACAAATCTTTGGTGATGCATTCAGAAGGAAGAGACGCTCTGGGTAAGAGGTCTTACCAGCAACCAGTAAGTATCCTGTAGCAGGTGGTGCACGGGGCAGGGGGCTGCAGCTGCACGCCGTCTCAGCCGGGGGGCGGGGAGGCCCAGGCTGGAGTCGCTGCATCAGCTGGGTCTGGGGCCCCTGCCCGGGCACGTCCAGCTCACCTGGAAGTGATCGAGCATCTGCTTCCACGACAGCAGCAGCAGGGACTCTTTCCGCACCTTCCTGGGAATCTCCGAGTAGAGGAGGGAGTTCTCTCGGCTGCCGTAAGGCATCCCTAAGGGGAGAACAGGGGCAGTGACGGTTCAGTGGGAGAACTCTCGCCTTCCATGTCAGAGACCCAGGTTCGATTCCCAGCCAGTGCACCTCATGCGCAGCCACCACCCGTCTGTCAGTGGAGGCCTTCGTGTTGCCGGGATGTTGAACAGGTTTCAGCAGAGCTTCCAGACTAAGACAGACTAGGAAGAAAGGCCTGGCAACCTACTTCTGGAATTCAACCAATGAAGCCCTATGGATTGCAACGAAGCAACAGGCAACCGATCATGGGGACGTCGCAGGACTGAGAAGAGTCTCATCCCATTGTGCGTGGGGTCGCCATGAGCCAGGAGCTGACCCGAAAGCAGCTAACATCAACCACCACCGAGGGCAGGACAGAAAAGCCGCCAGTCAGGCCCAGCGGTGGCCTGGGCCAGGGCAGGGAGAGGGCTGTGGGTGGCTCCCTTGTGGCTGGGCAAAGTTGGTTCCCTCTGCTTCTATTCGTTCTGCCAGGTGGCTGGTGGCACCGCCTCCCCAGAAAGGCTACCAGTTGCCGTCAAGTCGATTCCAACTCAGGGCGACCCCATGTGTGTCAGAGTAGAACTGTGCTCTATCGGTTTTCAATGGCTGATTTCTCAGAAGTGGACTGCCAGGCCTTTCTTCAGACATGCCTCTGGTGGGATTCAAACTGCCAACCTTTTGGTTAGCAGCTAAGCACGTTCACCATTCGCCCCACCGAGGGACCCCTAGAAAGGCTACAGACCTGGGTTTAAGTCCGTCAACAACAGGCTCTCCCACCTCTGAGACATCTGTGCTGAGCGTCATCCCCTAAGTTACTAAGACGTACTACACAAGAGGGCAAACAAGGGCGGCGACAATATGCAACTCCCCACAGCCGAAAACTGGTTCTTGAATGTCTTTCTCCATTAAATGTTTTTGCAAAGGCCAAGAATTAAATGAATCCGGATTAGGGTCGGGGTAAAATTTACAGACGGGAATGGGGACATATGTATCTAATCCAAGGTTTCTCAACCGTGTCACTAGTGACATTTGGGGGCAGATCCCTCTCTGGGGAGGGCCGTCCTGTGCACCGTAGGGTGTTGAGCAGCATCCCTGGCCTCCACCCACTTGACGTCCAGTAGCCCCCCCCGTCGTGACACCCACAGATGTCTCCGGCCATTGCCGAGTACCTCCTGGGGGGCGGAATCACCCGAGAGCCCTGACTCACTCGACCTGACCTACAAACTGAGAAGGACAGCGCTATCTGCCCAGTGAGGATTTTGCGTGGATCAGATGAGGTAATGAACAAAAGCCCTCTGAACGACACCTGGAACGTGTTACCTCGACGGTCAGCAGCTGATTTCAGCAGCAAGCTGCATGGTGTTTCACATTTGTGCACCTCTGAGGTCAGGATGGGTCTCGCTGCCGAAGATGCTGCTGCTTTTCTTTTTTTTTCTTGGTGGCAGACAAAATAATGACGTATCTCACCACCCCACCACCCGTCTGTCAGTTTGTAGTACTGTGGTGGCTTGCATGTTGCTGTGATGCTGGAAGCTATGCCACCGCGATTTCAAATACCAGCAGGGTCACCCATGGAGGTCAGGTTTCAGCGGAGCTTCCAGACTAGGACAGACTAGGAAGAAAGGCCTGATGATCTACTTCCAAAAATCAACCAATAAAAACCCTATGAAGTACAACAGAATATTATCCTATACAGTGCTGGAAGATGAGCCCCCTAGGTTGGAAGGCACTCAAGATACAGTGACCACAATGGACTCGAGCAGACCAAAGATCGCGAAGATGGCGCAGGACCAGACAATGTTTCATTGTGTTGTGCACGGGGTCGCCCTGACTCGAAGCCGCATCAAAGGCAACTAACAACGTCTTACCACCAGCAGTGTCTTTGATTCGGCGGGTTACTGTGTTATTGTCAATAAAGTTAATGCAGAACCAGAATGCTATCTCCGGTGAGCCTCGGTATCCCCTTCTCTGTGCCGCAAGGTAGGGAGCCCAGGCAGTGTGTCCCCAAGTGTCAGCCACAGAGCAGCACGCAGGATGACTTGCGATGGCCCGGGAATGTGACGCTGGCTAACGATCATTTACAGAAAGCACAAACCCCTCTTTCAATGCCGAGTCTCTTGAAGAGGAAGGCTTAGTTTGGCACTCGTCTCTTTTCAAGACCACCTCGTTTCTTTTCTCATGAGAGAGTGAGAATAGGCCCCAAGCTCAGCGCCTCCAGACTTAAGAGTTAATAATACCTGTTCCATTTATGTTTATTGTTATAGGTAGCTTCTTATTAAGGGGAGTCCCTGAGTAGGGCTAATGATGAACACACACAGCTGCTAACCAAAAGGCTGGTGATTCGAGTCCAGCCAGAGGCACCTCAGGCAATCTACTTCCGAAAAATCAGCCACTGGAAATCCTATGAAGCACAGTTCTACTCTGACACATGTAGGGTCGCCACGAGTTGGAGTCATCTTGACACAACCTGTTCTCATTAAGGCTAGTGACACGGGCTTTCCATTTACGATAAAATTTGCTTGTAAAGTATAATCAGGTTTAAAGGGAACTACTGGGTTAACAGGTTTCCTTTTGAAAGGGATACAAGAAAAATGCAGAGTTCACTTAGATACGTGCAGGTGGGACACGAACGGCTGAGGCACTGGGAACGCTGACAGCTTGATCTCTAAGCTCCACAGTCTGACCCTCTCGCTCCTGGCTAGGGGCACAGGCACAGTCCTGCCCATCGACTCTGCCCACGGAGGCACTGCTCCTTCTCATGCTCACACAAGTGGGGACGAGGATCGTGTGGCACGTGATTCCACTGAGATGAAATGTCCAGAACAGGCAAAGCCACAGAGACTGAAAGTGGATTAGTGGTTGCCTAGGGCTTGGGGGAGAGGGGAAGGAAGAGTGGCTGCTAATGGCATGGGATTTCTTTTTGAGGGGTTGAGACTGTTTTGGAACAAGACAGAGGTGATGGCTGCACAATACTGTGAATGTACTAAATGCCACTGAATTGTACAACTTGAAATGATTAAAATGGTGATTTTCCGTTGTATGTATTTTCCCACAATGAAAAAAAAAAAGAGTGAAGTTCGGATACATACTACAACTTAGGTGAACTTTAGAAACACCATGCCCAGTGAAAGAAGCCAGTCACGAAACGCCAAATATTATACGATTTCATGTGTATGCAATGTCCAGAAAAGGCAAATTCATAGAGATAGTAAATGGGTGGTTGCCTAGGGCTTAGGGGAAGGCGCCCTGGTGGCACGATGGTTAAGCACTCAGCTGTTAGTTGAAAGGTTGGCAGCTCAAACCCACCCAGTGGCTCTGTGGGGCAAAGACCTGGTAATCTGTTCCCATACAGATCACACCCCAGCCTAAGAAACCCTATGCGGCAGTTCTACTCTGCCGCATGGGGTCACTGAGTCGAAATCGACTCGAAGGCACCTAACGACAGCGATACGTACCACACCATGGACGAACCTGGAAAACTTTATGCCGAGTGAAAGAAAACAAAAACAACTAACCCTAACCTGCTGCCGTCGAGGGGATTCCGACTCACAGCGACCCTACAGGACAGGGCAGAACTGCCGCAAAGGGGTTCCAAGGAGTGGCTGGTGGATTCGAACTGCCGACCTGCTGGTTAGCAGCCAAGCTCTTAACCACTACGTCACTGGAGCTCCGAGTGAAAGAAGCCAGACACCAAAGGTCATATACTGCATGATTCTGTTTATATGAAACGGCCAGAACAGGCAAATCCACAGACAGAAAGTGAATCAGTGATTGCCCAGGGCTGGGGGAGGGGGAGTGACGGCTAATGGGTGGGGCTTCTTTTTAAAATGACGGAATGTTCTCGAACTAGAGAGTGGTGATGGTTGCACAACACTGCATATCCTAAAAACCAGTGAGTTTTCACCTTTAAAAGAGTGAGTCTTGTGGCATGCGAACCATGTTTCAGTTTTTTAAAAAAGCAAAGCATGGTGCAGCGCTGTGGGAGGCTGGGAGGGGGCAGGCAGCGCTCCAGCCAGCAGTGTCTGCTCGGGGACAGCCCCCGTCTACAGGGACTCTCTGCAACAGCTGGCGCCTTCCAAACAGGAAGTCAAACGGGTGGCCGTGCCAAGGACATGGGCGCCGCCACCCTCCCAAGCGGATTACTGAGTGATCACACCAAGTGGCCCAAACGGCCCCTTCCTGAGAATTGCTGCTGTTAGCACAAGTGACAACAAGTGGCGGGCAAGTCGAGGAGCTGGGATGGCAGAAGACAGCTACAGGGTTCTGTTGTCACCGCCCCCCTCTCCTCTGGGGAAACGTGCCCCACCCCCAACAAACCCACCCCCAGGCACAGGGTGACGGGTGTCCCCGGCCTGAGCAAACACCGTCTCCAGCCACAGTGGCCCCAGCAACTGGCCCCGCAGGGCACGTGACCCAGGCTCCAGGCAGAGATGAGCCCTCGCTGTCCCATCTAAGGGCACCTAGTGCTGTCCCAGGCCTGCGCCATCCTTCAGCCGACAGATGCCTGTGTGCGCTGTGGGAGATGGTGAGCGGCCCGGATGAGGAGGGCTGACAGGCAGATGCGCGTCCTGAGCCTGCTGCTGGAGTCCCGGGGTCCCCAGCCCACCTGCTGGGACCAAGAGCCGGCACACTTCCTGTGCTGCCCAGTCTGGTCTGCGCTGGGTTTCATCACCTGCACCCAGAAGGGCCTTCATGAACCCGGAGACTGGCTCAGCAGGCCCCAGCAGTAAACCTCACTCCAACAGGCCGGCAGGAGCTTCCGGGAGGACCCAGCCTCAGCCGCTGGAGTCTCGGGGTAGCGGCAGGGGGTCTCCCTGTCGGCCCCTTTATGTCCAATCCAAACATCCCCTGGGTGCCAGCATTCTCCCAGCTGCAGGCGATCCACAGGTGACTAAGACGTGTTATACATGCGTGGGGGCCACAGGAAGTCAACCCAAGAGCTTGGGCATGAAATGAGGTCGTGTTGCCCCGAGGATGCTAAGTGACACAGATGATCAGCCTGACGGTGAGCAGCGTCACCCCGACAAACGCGATGACCTCTGGGCTGGAGGGGCTGAACCGTTCTAGATGTGCTTTGGGTTCCTGGTCACATCCACACCCCCTTGTCTGCAGCTGCCCCGGCAGGGCGGGCCCTCAGTGGTCCCCTGTGTATGACAAGGATCCTCCTACCTCCAGCCCCAGACATAGGCCAAAGCTGATTGGACGAGGACCTGGCAATCAACCAACATGTGACCCAGGTTAGCCAATCGGACTTCCTCTCCTGGAAATTTGGATTTGGAGAAAGCTAGCCCTTTTCTGCTGGTGGCTGGAATCCATGACATGCAACCTCGGGAGCTGTGGAGGTGGCAGAGGAAGGCAGGTGCAAGGAGAGGATGGGGTGGACACGTGGAGAGGTGTCCACAGAGCAGATGCCTGGGTTCTAGAAGGTTCCAGCTGTTAGGTGCTGCTGCACACAGTCCGGGTGGACTTTCTGTCCCGGGGTGCTGTGAGACGCCCCTGCACCCATACTGTGAGATGCCCTTTGAGGCTCCAAGCTAGTTGAGTGGGTTTCTGTTCCTTTCAGCAGTATTTTCGGGGGCTGAATAACGGCCCCTCTAAAAGACGTCCATGTCCTAATCTCTGGAATCTGCGAATGTGACCTCATGGGGCAGAGGGCTCTGCAGGTGAGGTGAAGTCAAGGATCCTGAGACGGGGAGACAATCCTGGATGGTCTGGCGGCGGGGGGAGCCCAAATGCAGTTCCACGTGTGAGGGAGGCAGAGGGAGATCTGACACAGAACAGGAGGCGAAGGTGATGGGGTCACGAGCCCGGGAATGCCGTGGCCACCAGCAGCTGCAAGAGGCAAGGAAGGGGCCTCCCTGGAGCCTGGGGAGGGAGTGCAGCTCTGCCTACGAGCTGACTTTAGTCCAGGGCAATTGATTTTGGCCTGTGAGAGAAGACATTTCTGTGGTCTGAGGCCTCCCGGTTCGTGACTTGTCTCAGCAGCCATGGGGAACTCACACACACATACCCTGCCCACAAGCGCAACTCCAACACGAGCGTGTGGCTGAAGACAGGATGTGCCGGGAGTCGGGGTCAGGAAGCCCTGGGGCCAGCAAGAGAAAGACGACAGGCCAGCCTCAGCCCGGGAGGCTCGCCCACTGCTCCAGGAGACTTGCAGCTCTAGCTCTCTCCTGGGTAGACACTTGAAGCGTTTCTAGCCCTACTTTCTTCTAGACTTGAATTGGTCAATTTTTCCCGTCAAGGGCCGGAGAGTAAACATTTCTGGCTTCTTGGCCACATGGCCGGTTGCAACTCCTCCACCATGGTGGATCAAAGGCAGCGTGGACATGAATGAACAAGTGTGGCTGTATGCCGATAAAGCTTTATTTACAAAACCTGATGGTCGCCATTTGCTGTGTTCCTCTGTCCGGTCCTGTGCCGGCCAGACCACCACCTGGTTTCCAGAGGTCTGTCCGTGAGGAGCAACAGTGTTGACCGTGGGGAGAGGACAGCCAGCTGGCATCTGTCTTGGGGTTGTGGGCATTTCCATCAGCGCGGGCCAGCCTCTCAGCCACAAACTCTGGATCCTCAAGGCAGAGTGTGACATTCATTCACTCATACATTCATTCAAGTATTTGCTGAGGGCCTGACCAAGGAGTTCCTGGGTGGTGCAAACAGTTAAGCACTCGACTACTAATTGAAAGGTTGGCAGTTTGAACCCACCCAGAGGTGCCTCAAAAGAAAGGTCTGGCAATCTACTTCCAAAAAACCAGCCATTGATTTAGCTTACTTAGGACAAAATGTCTGCCTTGAGGAGTGTACCCTTTTAAGATCTATCTATATGGGATCAAATTGACAACAGCAACTCAAAAGGTTAGATGGGAACCCTACGGGGCAGTGAGCTTATGTTAATGGGGGAAGAACAATTCAGAAAAGGGGGGTGAGAATGGTTGTAAGATTTGAAGAATATAATCAGTGTCACATAATTATACATGGAGAAGTTGCTGAACTGGTGTATGTTCTGCTATATATATTCTCAACAACAATAACAAAAAAAAATTAAAAAAAAGGGAACATGCTTGGCTGGCTCCCACAAGGAACTGCCCCGTCCTCCTTTGTGAGACCCTTCAGCAAAGTGGGACAGAAAAGGTCATCCGCCCCACAGGTGCCTCCTGTCTGGCTGGGCCCGGGTCTGGCTGCAGAGGCTAGGGAAGCGCCTCAGACCTGATCCGTAACCCGAAGGGGAACACAATTCACGGCAGAAGGTGCAGCAAGCGGTGCCCACGCGGCCCGCCCGCGGAGGAGGGAGGTGCCCACGAGGCCCGCCCGCGGAGGAGGGAGGTGCCCACGAGGCCCGCCCGCGGAGGAGGGAGGTGCCCACG